CGATTGGGTGCCGTGCGACCAAGGCTCAAAGCGCCATGTATTGGCTTGTGTTCAATATTTAGATGGATGATGTTGGAATAAACAGCAATTGTTGGCGAGTTTCAAACAATACTTGCAGGCCTTTGATTGCCACGATCGTCGGCACACAACTCTCTCGAGCGAGCTAGTGGCCTCGCGAGCCGCCCACCCCTTTATCCTAGCCACTTTTCAGTCGGTGTACGACGCAATATATCTAAATGCAGGCCAACTTTGAAAGTAATCGCTTAGGAATTTAATTTTGTCGGTCTCAATTTACGATCTTTTGCCGGAGAAGTGGCCTCGCGAGCCGCCCACCCCTTTATCCTAGCCACTTTCAGTCGGTGTACGACGCAATATATCTAAATGCAGGCCAACTTTGAAAAGTAATCGCTTAGGAATTTAATTTTGTCGGTCTCAATTTACGATCTTTTGCCGGAGAAGTGGCCTCGCGAGCCGCCCACCCCTTTATCCTAGCCACTTTTCAGTCGGTGTACGACGCAATATATCTAAATGCAGGCCAACTTTGAAAAGTAATAGTAGTCTCGGAGCGTAAAAGCTTCGCGGGTAGTACAAAGCTGTTTCGAGGCCCATTCGTGGAGTTGCATGTAGTCCTTGATGACAAGCGAGGACTCTTTGAATGTGGGGGCATGGAAGCTCTTGATCTGGTTGACTTCCGGCAGTAGCCGAAGGATGATTTCTTTGTTCATGTACTTGACGTTGAGTCGCGTCAGCCCTCCCTTTGGACCCATTCCCCCGAGACAAAGGTTGGCGATCTCGTCACGGAGGACAACGTGGATGCCATTGAGCTTCTTGCCCGTAAGCGCTGACGTATGCTCGCCTTTGTGTTAGAGTACAAAACCGGACTCGGCCGGGCGCGCTCGAGCTTTGGCTTTGCATTTCTTGTGTGTAATGCACTTGTGCATAGCGAAACCACCGTACGAGTTGTGAGTGGTAGTGCCGTAGTTGTACTCGCCGGTGTCAAACAACTGCATCTCGATAATGGCATCGTCCTTGGTCCGAAACCTCGCGACTTCAGTGTACCCACCGTTTTCGTCTTCGACGACGACCGGAGCACCAACAACCGGAGCACCAGTGACCGGTGCACTAGCGACCGGTGCATCGACGACATGATCAACAACGTCGACGACCGGTGCACCCACGACCGAGCCTTCATCGACGACGAGCGGTGCATCAACGACCGACGCCTCGCCAGCCACGAAAATCGTGGCTGGAAAGAGGCGCCGGCCGACGTTGGTTGGTCCATACGATTTCACAGGTTTTTTCTGCCATCATGTCATTCTGCAACTGTCGCCATCATGACGCTCTGGAACAAGGACATTTGCGCAGAGCCTTCGTGTCGTTGCGGCGAGTCCTCTGCAGAGCTGCTCATCGACTACCTCAACTACCAAACTACGGACGGCTACGTCAACTACAAGCGATGGAAAGGCGGCAGCAAGAAGAGGGATGGTAAATCCAAGATCACGATCGCGGGGGAGGTCCATGATCAAGGA